GAAAACGCTCGGCCGGAATTCTCGCGGAAAATGCGAATTCCTCGACGCTCGCTCGAGAAATGAGATGTACGAGTAAGATTTTTGAAGGAGGGGGAACCTCTTCTCGAATGATATTTATATATTGATTGTACAAGAGCGAAGAATTTTTTTCTTCCTCCGTCTTGTTTCGCATTGTCACCTGATCACAAATATCTGACCAGACGAATCGCCATCTTTTATTCGCAGTAGCGATATCAGATATAATGAAACGAAAGTAAATAAAAAGTGGGAGTTTTATTCATCTATATTCCATCGATATTCGTCCCTTTCAGGATTTTAATTTCAAGTCTTTCTGATTTGAATTCTGTCAATTCTGTCTCGTGTACTTTTTGTTACTTCTCCCGTTCTCGCGATATACGTAAATATCGAGTGGAGAAACGCAGAGAAAGCGAGGAAATTCCGGAAATGTTCACGATCATGCATAACAAATACTACAAATTTTCCAACGCTTAAACTTTTCCTTCAATACGAGGATGTCACGAATCCCCGATTATCGCGTATATTTATCGACCATGACTCGTCCATTCCAATTAATCCACGGGAGACGTTGTCATTAGCTTGAAATCGGGGGGAAATAACGTGTTAAAATTACCCTCGAATAAGTCTCGCAATTTAACGATCGTGAAGCATCGCCAAGTGGCGATAGTACGATTTTACGATGATCCATCTTTACGACTATCCCTATTCTTCGTCGACGACACGCAACACGCATAACCCATAACAGGGCGTGCAGGCATGCGCCAGGCGTATAAACCCTGGCGACCAAACCCGGCGTAAAATAGTAATCGTGCAACGATCCTTAAAACTCGTCATCATCGGTTGTGCACGTGTCCCATCGATCCACACTCGTACCCTGCGTCGAACGATTCGACACAATATCATGATTCTCATAAATATTGAAGCGGCGTTGCGTTCGATTCGCGCTTTAATAAGGCCACCTACTATTACGAATCACACCGAGGTATACGTATATATACGCACACACACACATCTGGATCGGTGTGTATCGGTGAAAGAGGCGCCTTAAAGATTCTTGACAAGCGTCGGTACAAGCGTTTGCAATTAATTCGCCGATGCTCACCTCGACAGCCGGCCACAGACCGCCATTAAAATTCCCCGCGAGCTTGCGCAACTTGCTTTCGAATCTCCAAGCTTTTCAGAGCATATCCGCCGATTTCGATAACGTTCGCGCGCGTGTGTGTGTGTGCGTGTGTGTGTGAACAGGCTACCTTTTTTTCCTCGTTTCTTCTCCTCCTCCTCCTCC